GTTGGGACCTACAGTCCAACAAAACCTGGAAGACCACATGGTTCCCACCTCTGACCTACAACATATTAATTCCATTTGGAACAGTATTAAAAAGGAAGGAACAAAGCAGAACAGCCACCTCTCTCCCTCCAACCCTTTTTCTATACAATTTTTTCCTGGTGGGAGGGAAAGACAAACATGTCGATATGTGCATAAAAGGGAGGCCACAAAGGTTGCAATAGTGTAGGGCCTCCCAGGCTGATGTAAAAGGGGGCAAACCTTTCAGGCATGTGTTGACTTGGCTGGGGCACAACCTAGACTGAGCTATTGCAGGGATAAGGAATTTAGGGGCTAAACAAATTTTGTAAACTGAGGTTGCAAGGCCTCCAAATTCTCAGTTATATTCATCAGGGAGAAACAGGGGCAAAGACAAATGCCTCTACCAAATCTCCATGAGTGAACAGGTTGTTTTTTATGTTGCAGGAAATGCAAGCTGTTCTCAGGAACTGACCTAACATATTAACTGATTTTCATGGAGAATCCAGATTACATCTAGAAAGCAACTATTGGCAGGGCTAATCCTCTGTCCTGTCTGAGCCAATATTTATTTTCCTATCTTATCTTTCTTTCCACCCTGAACTTATGTACTTTTATTGGCCACCTCTCCAAACACTTAAATCTGCTTACTTAAAAAAAAAAAGAGTTAAGTAACTTCAAATTGATAGCAGGGATGGATCCAGATTTTGTCATAGACAGGGCCTATCTGTTGAAGTGGAATCCAGTCCAGCACCCTCATGCCACAATAAAATGCAGTCTATAAGCTTGCAAAAGTTATCATTGTAGTCAACTACTAACCATATCTTTTGGGCTGCTGCCACACTGCAGAAATAAAGCAGTTTGGCATCCCTTTAACTGCTTTGGCTCAGTGCCATGGAATTCTGGGATTTGTCATTTTGTGAGATAGTTAGCCTTCCCTGTCAGAGAATGCTGGTACCCCATCAAACTACAAATCCCAGAATTCCACAGCATTGAGCCATGGACGTGGTATCAAACTGCTTTATTTCTGCAATGAGGCAGCAGCCTAAGAGCTCTTTCACACTACACTCTTTCAAGAACTTGACTAGCAGCCGTCACCCAGAGGACCTTTTCATCAGCCGCCCCAAGATTGTGGAATGACCAGCTGGAAGAGATCTGACAGCTAGACCAGCTGTCGGAATATAAAACACATTTGAAGACTTATCTCTTCCAGCTGGCCTACCCAGGCAGTTTTAATCATGAATTTTAAACATGAATTTTATATTTAATCATTGTTTTATATATTTTAATATAAATATTGTAGAGAGATGTATTTTTAATATGTGTATTTTAATATGTGTATTTTATGTAACGATTGTGTTTTTTAACTATGTTGTAACCCACCTCAAGCCGCAAGGAGAGGTGGGTAAGAAATAAAAATTATTATTATTATTATTATTATTATTATTATTATTATTATTATTATTACACAATTGTAGTATTTTGGCACTATTTTAACTGCCATGGCTCCATTATATGGGATCCTGGGATTCGTAATTTATCTAGGCACTAGAAATCCCCCACAGAAAACTTTACAAAACCAGGGTAACATAGGATGGGGTCATGACAATTACAGTGGCATCAAAGTGCTATAATTGTGTATTATGAAAGAGGGTTAAGCCAGCATGGCCAGGGTCCATCTTTGCTGGGCAGGTCTAGGTGCTGTAATCCAAAGTGATAACTTTCTCAGCTTTGGTGTACACTAATCCTCAAATGAAGCAGATAAAATTGACAATGGTGATCATGAGCAGAAAAAGTGTCATCAAACTACATGCCTTTTTAGCCGAATAGAATTCTGTTTTCTCCCAAAAAGCTAAAAAAAAGGTAAGGTTGTTTACCTGCTTCAGAAAGCCACTCTGTTGTCACAAAGCAGCTATTAACAATGGCCAACATAGTCTCTCTTTAGAGAAACCTATGCATTATTCTGTTGTTAAAAATTATCACCCCCACTCCACTTCCACCACAGATAATGTATACTGAGTCCCTATATTGGAAGAAAGGCATATAAGTCAATAACAACAACAACAACAATCTCAATTCAAATGCATCTGAGGAAGTAAAGTTAAGTCTACCAAAACTCATGCTGCCAAATTCTTTCTTTCAGTTAGTCTCAAGATCTCTCTACATACGTATAAACTCAATTATTATACATAATATCTAGTCAATATTTAGTCTATATATAAGTATGGGAGTCATAAAATAAGAGATATAAAAATAAATAAGAAAGTTAGAATATATGTGTAGTCGCAGATGGATAAGGGGCTATATGAAAAAGTGAATGTGAAGTTAAGATGTATACAGCAGAAAGTTAAGTAATCAAATTAATCTGCAAATAATCAAATCCACAAATGCTGAACCTGCAAAAGTGGAGGGCCAACTGTAATAAATAGGGAGCAGCTGGGGGGGGGGAGATAAACAGCAATATTATTATTAGCTACAAAAAAAGTAACATGTTATATTACTTTGGAAAGCAAAAAGTAACATTATGTAACAGTGTGGTGTAGTGGTTTGAGTGTTAGAGTGATTCTGGAGACCAGGATCCGATTCCCAGCTTGGCCATGAAACCCAC